TATTACAAATGATCTAGCTGACTTTTTGACCTTTAAAAGGCTGGTAGGAATAAATACCAAGTAGCTCTAGTTGGGAATAACATAAAAACCCCCAAACCYTGGTGTGTTATGTGCTTGTCAGCATATTATAGAAGTTTTACAATACAAATCAGAGTATTTGTTGAGAAGAATTAAGTGGTTGCTGAGTAGAGCTGCATCCAAAAATCCTGAGCCACCACTTTGTGCAAGCAGGGAAGAAGCTTTGCATGGACCCAGTGCAGCCATCCACATCACCTTGCAGTGGTTGCAGCAGCATCAAATAGTAATAAAAAACCAGTGTCTCACTCCGTATAAGTTTAAATCAGCCAGTTAAGATCAAATACTCACTGGATATATATTGAAGGGCAGTCTGAAGAAAAGTCCAGTATATTTATTGATCTAGTCTGAATTATTGCCCGATTTTTAGAAAACCAAATTCAAATATTTTAATAGGAATATAGTGGACTAGAATGTGGTGTATCAGTTAGAAGGTAAAAACCAAATACACCGATTTCCTTTTAGTTATTTAACATTTGTTGGTCCCGTAAAAAGAGGCAGAGGCAGAACTTCCCAGTAGGTGACACTATGGCACCACTTTATTCTCAGAGCAGTCTCTAACACCCAGCAAACACCACGTTGTGTGGCCGCCTGAGAAAATACCGTGGAGCTCCCAAGAAAAAGGAAAGAGAAAGAAACAATCCGAGATGCTCACCTGAGCGACCCCTGAAGCTGCCCTGTGACAGAGGCTGTGCTAATAGAGACCYCTTGGGGAAAGGAAGGACTTGCTTGGCTCCTTTTACAGCAGCTTCAATTTATGACTGTTGAAAAAGTGTCCAGGAATGCTSTCTAATGGAATAATGGAATCCTACCTGTTCATGAATCAGGGTYATTTACCAGTTCTAGAGTTTCATGTGAGGTTATGAAATTATTAGTATTTTACAAAAGATGTTTTCTGTTAGAAGTGTTACATAACGTTCCAAGRACTTTATGAGTAGGAAGGTTTTGGATAAATGGTATAATTTGGTACAGTCCACAGACAAAATCAGAAATCCCTTTGAATAATTTAACTAGTTTAACTTCATGACCTGTGTGGTTTTGGGTTACATTTTTCATGGTTTATGTATTTCATTGTTTTTTCTTCTTCTTTACTGGTTTTTTTAAAGTTACTAGCTTTACTTTTAAAATTCTACCTACTATTGCATGCAGACAGTTTTGTATCAAACATAATTTTGAAGGTTTTATAAAAGTGCTGTAAATTGACTCGACTGAGGGGCATAGGGTCAAAGGAATTATAAATGTGATTACAGGCTGAATCCTAGTAAGATATGAATTCAGTCTCTTTGAAATGTGCTGACATTTTTGCTGCTTAAYGCAGTTTTCAACTAGCACACATGAGGATACTCATATGTGAACTTAATTAGCTGAAGAAATGGGCTTATATCGYTCTATTAGTGTAACAGAAATTATGCAAATTGCAGAAGAAAATGTTTTTAGTTATTATATCAGCCAATGAAATACATTATATACTCCCTAGACAAATTTTGGAAAACACCTTTATGCTATACAAAGCCACTSTTAGTTATTCTAATCATGTTTCAAAAGCAAATATTGGAAGTTCATAACAATTTAATCCATTGCCCATGTACTCAGGAACATTTAGGTGCTTGCATGCAATTCTGGTGCCACTGTACTCGTGCACTTGAGGGCACAATGTGGCACAAACTGGCACGGGTTTCTCCACAAAGAATTGATGTCTTATGACTGAGTCCCCTCTGTAAGGTGCAGGAAACAAAATGTTGGAAAAGACTGGAAAAGCAACAAGTAGTGTGAGAAGTGCAATTCCAGACTTTTCTGTTGCCTTTGATTTTCTCATTTTCTGATTTCTCTGTGAGTGACACTGCATACTAATTGGTAAGATATTTAGAGAGCTTAAACCAAAARTGAAGTCAATAAATCTTTAGCTAGATTTTTCTTTGTTTTAAATGGAAACAGTATCTTCTCTCTTCTTCCTTTCCTTCCTCAGAGTGCTTTTCCTTGCAGAGCTRTGCCTTAGACTTGGTTTACCACACTTAGGGATAATTCCCAGACCCTTTGATTCAACAGGAATTTTTATRGGGTGAAAAAGGGAAAAAATGAACTAGGTGTTTTATTCACAGAAACAAAGGAAAACCTGAGCTTTTGGTTAATGCAGGTGTGCAGCACAGCTCCACTGTGTCTTTGTTATCAGTTACCCTTACATTACAAGTTAGGTTAATTTGTTTTAAAATTCTTCCATTCTTGATGGAACTTGAGTGAGCAGGTTAGATGTTAACCGTGAGATTGYTTAGTGATCTCTCACCAGAAATACTTTAGAAATGTCTTCACAAATCCATTTGAGGGGAATTAATCATGTAGAAGCATCTCACCTTTGGAAACAGAACTGAAAATCGCAGGGCACTTATCACTCTAGTGATTTAAACTAGTTTAAAGGGCCACTGGAGTGTTGCTGTTCTCGTTTTCCTGCAGCTGTGTGTTCCCATTTCCTTACATAGCACTGCTCCYCATCTGACCTGACAAGCTGGTGGCAGGTGAAAGCAGCAGGAAATGCAGGCTGGGACTCTGTAGCACCCAAGGCGATTTGACTGCTGGCTGCCTTCTTGCCACCATTTGCCTCTGGCCAAACCCTTCCTCAGCTCCCTTGGCCATTGGCTTGATGAGCTATTGCAGTGCACTGAGTTTGCAGAAAACTAATACAACAAAAGTGAGTAGTTTTTCTGCTAACTTAATGCACTGAAATAGCTCACATTTTCAAACTGTGTTGGAAAAATCGTTTCTTATATGGATGTCCTGTTCAACCCCCAGTTTTCTGCCTGTCTTGAGTTCTTCACAGAGACTCCACATGGCAGATTAGCAAAATGGATGATACAGTTACTACTGGGGTGTTTTATCTTAAATATCCTTCTTTTTACAATCATAGGGACTCCTGGCATCATAACAGCATAGGGAAAAAAAAAGACCAGAAATAGAAAGAAGCATCACTGTTTTGGTAAATTGCAAAAGATTCTAGCAATCAATGGATCAGAGACTTTGTGATTAGGAGTTGTATGTGATGCAGCCATCTTTAGCTAAAGAGAGAAAACAAGATGTGGGTGTAGACTGAAGGCTYATATGCCCAATAGCAGAGCCTCCCCAGAAAACCCAAAATTATTATTCTTACAATTTTTTTCCATTTAGATCCTCAGTGTATACTGTTCCTGACTTACACATTAAACTTGAATGCTGATRATATTGTCATGTGGACAGATGTAACTTCCTTCCTCAATTACTGAGAAACGGAGCAACGAAGACACTATGACAAATTTTTCAGCTAGGAAAAAAAATTAAAGGGTCAAATAATGCCAAATGCGTTTGGTGTGCTACAGGTGGCACTATCAGAAGTGCATACCATATCTGTGGTCACCTCACCTGATGCAATACAGATTTCTTTAAACTGTCTCTCATAATCAAGAGAATTTCTTGTTCTACATCCGACCTCYGTCTTTGGGGTGAACCTTAAAAGCACACAAAGATGAAAGTTACAGAACTGTGAAAGAGCCRTAATTTATAACAACTTGGGTGGCAATAAAGATGTGTAATGATGGCTTCAATGAAATAAAGTGGAGATCATTATTCCTTTTAGGTGAAACTTGTTTAAAATTTCTAGCAGTGTGAGAGACCTAATTGAATTGCCACTTTGTGCAAGTGGGGAGGCAAAGACACCTCTGAGATGGCTGTTATGTTAACAGAGAGTGATAATTGGCACCCCACTGTGAAGATACAGTATCTTGCCATCTTTCCTTTTCCTATATGGTCTGTTAATTTCAGAAGATTTTACACCGTGCCCTGMTTGCTGTTGCAAATTGTTTTAGTATTAGAAACTATTAGTATTAGAAACAGAAATAGTATTAGTATTAGTAACTGCATCAAAATTTTCAGGACCTGGATTTGAATACTCTTTTAAAAAGCAAAATGAAACCCCCAAACACTGGTCAGAAAATGGCTCTATTGACTGAAGTGAGGAAGGAGAAATGCAAGGCCCRAATGTAGTAATAAAGGCTGAAGTGAAACAGTTTTGTCGGTTTTTCCAAGAAACATAAAGCGAACATGTTTGGGTTTTAAGTACAATAAGAGCAATAAAAAAATCCCATCATTTTCTGTCAATTATCACTTCAGGCTGTGATCTTGTCAGAAATCATAAGCTCCCAACTCCAGTACTGCCAGGATATGTTGGTATTGATCTCCCTTGAGTCAATGTTTATAATGGTTGAGGGCATGAGGCCACCCAAGGCACTGTGAAGTAATACTGAGGCCCTGCTTTGGTCTTTAACAGTGTCAGGGCTGTCATATGCAGTCTGCAAATACACAAGAAAAAGATCTTTTCTTTCTCTGTGTTATATTGGTGGGTAACCACTATTGTCTTGGAACTTTCACAACTGGCTGACATTTCAGGTGCATCACCAAAAGTTCGGTTATAATGGTTCTTGCCAGTCAGGCATCCCCTCCCAAGACAATTGTTACAATTGTTTTGTTTATAAAAAATTCACCACCAGTTTCAGGTAAAGGAGAAAATCTGGAGGTGCTGCTGAAGAAGATGAGTAAATGGGATTTGAAGGCAATGACATTGGTTGTATTTTAGTTGCAAATTGAAAAGTCATTGAGGAGTTGCATGGTGTCAGAAAAATAGTTGGCTTTGATTTTTGGAGAAAATGTTATGTTTATATATAAGAGAAATACTGCTTGATTAAAAAATTTCACAGTTTACAATTAGGTGATACTGCTTTTTAGTCTTAAGGAGAAGCCTTATGGCTGTGATACTGCAGGGAGATTTAGATCTTTGTTCTATTCCCAGATCTGGGGTTTATTTATGTCCTGACAATTGTATTGTTTATGATTCCAAACTTTGCCTTAGTYTTCTTTCTACAGAATGGTCACAATCTTCCTTAATTTTGTCTGCATAGGCTGCAGGCTGTTTGGAACRGGGACTTCTTATTGTATTACTAAATGCATGTATCATGCCTGGCACAACCAGAACTAATGTAGTTTGGGTAAGCAGATATATATTTAATGCTACTGTTTTTTAAAAAAATATTGTAAAGTGCTGCTGTTGAATTGGAGTGCTTCCAGTTAAAGTTACTTTTATGTCTGGTTGTAGACAAAATGTTTCACAGTGAAAGCTATAAATTTTCATTAACCAAAACCAACTAAATTTGCCACAGGCTCCTAACTTCAGCTCATTATGTATCTTCGAAYGTAAAGTATCTTTCTTATTTGTTATTTGTAGAGGCTGAGCTGCAAATCCATAAGTGCTCGAGRAATTATGCAGATATGATGCAGCCCAGAATGAGAAAGATGGAGGGAGGGAAAGAGCAAAATTTTGTTCTGAACAAACTGGACATGAGAGAAGATTTTGAACTAATTTAGAGGAACCAAGACTACAGGATAAAAGAGAAAAGTTCTATTTTTTTCCTTTTGTGACTGACTTTATATTTTCTCCCCATTGTGCTCATATTTTATAAAATCCAATTAAAGAAAAATCAGTTTTATTCCTAAATCAGTTTTATTCCTAAGACCACTAATGGCCACTATTTTAACATAAATCCAGCTCTGGTTAGTGTAGATACAAAAAATAATGGGACTATGGATCTAGGTGCAAGTTGACTTTTTCTAAATAATTTCTGATACAGATCTCTTTTCTTTTGACCGTGACAYTCTGTAGAGATTCCTAATTAGCCAACTTCTTTTAAAATTCAATTTTAGATCAGAATCAGAGCAGTCAGTTTGATTTCCCAGTGGTGGGGTAGTGAGTGAGCAGCTCCATGGTGCTGAGTTGCCAGCTGGGTTTAAACCGTGACAACTCATTATGTAAAGTTTTACTTCTAGAGCAGCTCTGAGATGCACTGATCAGAGAGTCCAAAGGGAAATACTTGCTTTGTGCCTAAAGAGTATCTGAAATTTATTAAAACCAGGTTTGTGATAGACTGGAGGTGGTGCCTTGAYCTGAACTTTGGACCTTAATTCTCAATTCTGCCCTTTGTATTAGTTTTCCTCCTTTATGTTCCCTAAGTGAGTAGAGGTGATTGTGTCATGATCACATTGCTTTCTTAACTAAAATTTATATTGATTTATAAAGAGGAGCTTCAATGGTGGTGATTAAAGATGTGATTAAAGTTATGATCCCTGCTTTTAGAGAAGGAAACAAATAACCAAATGATTTTAGWTTTTGCTGATCAAAATTCCAATCTCTGCAGTGAATAATTGATATTAGATCTGAATCTCTGTGAAGTAACTTTAATTTATACTCATGAACAGGCCAGAAGCCRCAGGAAGCTGGTAAGAATTTGCTTTGGGAGGTTTCCTTAGGATAGGGACTTTCTCCATTATAATAGTTGTGAAGTTTATTGTTACTTTAATTTAAAATTCCAGAAAGCCTTTATATTTCAGGGCAAATAAAATGTAACATGCATTRTCCTTAGGGACCATAGGAGAAGAGATTGAATTGGGGCTTATAGCCCATCAAAATCTCAGTATTTTTCTGCTTATTTGGTGAGATGAATGTACTCACTAAAAGTCAAATGTGTGGTAGAGAAAGTAAAAAGATGAAAACATGTAATTGGGAGAGGGACCTTTTCTCTCCATGGGAAATTAGATATCACGTCAGTTACAGAGCAGGAACTTCTGTTATTAAATTGAAAATCTAGGTGCAATCCTTTTTATTTTTTAGCAGCTCTCTCCCTCTYGCAATTTAAAGACTTTTTGAATGTTACAATATGTGTTTTTAAAAAACTTGTCAAGTATTAATTTGGAATGTTACTTTTTTTTTTTTTCTCTTTCTAGCGGACCATCAATACGAAAATCTAACCTTCATGAATCATGCAARCTGGCAAAGACATCTTCTGTATCTTCTGCAGTCTAAGAAATYTGTTATATAGGTGGCACTTAGCAATCTATTTTTCTTTAGCAAATCCTTAATTTTTCTGATTTGAGTGATCTTGCTTAGGAATAAAATAGTCAGAATTTGAGCCTTGCCAACAAAAAAAATTAGACATTTCAGGAAATGTCATATTCCCATTTTTTGAATTAGTTCTCCTTCTACTGATTTGACCTATTAATGACCAGTTATGGTCATAGTTAGGACCAGTGTGATTTCCATATCACTTTCTGCACATATTTGACTTTTTCCTTGAACTGTGATAGCTTCCTACCTGCAGTTTGATGAAAATTCAGCTGCTGTGAGAAACATGTGGCACCAACACTGTGATGAYTCAAGAGCTGGCAGGGAGCCCTACACTTTTGCTGAGTAAGTTGTTATTCCTGACTTGGCAATTTAATGGCTTATATTTTTGCTGGAAAAATTCATACTATAGTGTGAGATGTATTGTGGCTTCTTTTTAATTTTCACATTCTCCTGTCTATGACTTTTTCTGTTGTTTTAGTATCAGTCTAAAAGAAGAGTTTAAATGCAGTTTAATGTCTCTTTTTCAGAATCTGAGAATCTTTCATACACCTTTTTCTCTGAGTTATTTCTGACTAATACATTGAATTGTAAAGGACAAAAGAAAGAACTTGATGTTATGTTTTTTTTTTTGATGATGATAATAGAAAGTATCATGAAATAGGACCTTTGCCTTGATAGAAGTTGCAATTTTTGCTGGACTGAACTTGTGTCTCAAAATTCCCAGACCTTTCAGTCTTAAAAATAGCAAATTTTTTTGGTACGACTTGTAAAAACAGTGCATTGTACAATAGAAAATAAAAACCAGATTTCACAAGGTTTTACATTTTTCTTTACACAGATACACTCAGTTTTTATCTTAAGCTTGAASTATTGTTACAAGTCATGGGATTAATTTATAACGACCTCAGTCTGCTGCTACCTCTGCATTTGCAAAAGACACTTAGGAAACTCAACCTGGGAAACCTTCTTTTAATATAGTTCTGAGTATACAGTTCATTACTGTCACTAAGACTCTCAGATTTAGTTTGACTTAAATGTCAGAAGATATTATTCAGGTGTGAAAGACACCAAAGATCACATCTAACTGGTATATTGAATCTTAATTAGCAGGGAGACCATAKAAAACTCAGAAGCTTCTATGAACTAAGAAAACAACCCTGACATTCTCTGCTCAGCTCTGGATATTTGTTACTGACTTTGATCTGCAGTGAAAATCTCCAWAGACYCAGGATTCTGGCTTGCTTAAAAATYRGGTTTATTTTCAAAYKTYGCTGTTAAGTCATTATTACCAAATAACTGAAGGAACTAGAACCTCATAAAAAGCATTTTATTCCCCATTACAAGAGTTAGAATTCAGGCAACAACACTGCATAAAGCAAAGCCTTTTTCTTCTCTGCAGATCAGTTCACTTAGTGTTAAAGATATTCTATGCATTGACACTATGTCCTGTTTGGATTTTATAATGATCAGCAGGTTTTGTGAAGGTCCCATTATGTTTAGAAAATATCACAATATTTAAAAAAGATGTAATGACCAAATAGTTGTGAAATGGCCTAGTGCATTATCCTTTGCTTGGGATAAGACCAGGTGCACATCATAGTTAGTGGACTCATCTGGCAAGTAGGGGAAAAAAAAGTGCAATTTTTTCTTCTAGATTTTCTTCTTTGATATTTGTTCTCAGCAGGATTATTTCTAATTAAATTGTTCTTTTTCCCAGTCTCAGAAGGGACACATACAGTGAGTGAACAAGCMGACTTTGTAGCTCATGCTTCTGAACTGCAGCTAATAAAGTGCACTGACACTGTAGTCAAATTTGCATTTTTAAGAAGCCCATTGTCACGACTAATTACATAATTTCCCTTTTTTATGTGAGAATGTTGTGGGAGTAATCTGTGAAAGAGTTTGCTTTTACTATGGCTAAGTTTATGAATTTACAGTATGATCTTGAAAAATATTTCAGGTGCTCAGAAGCCTGAGGTGAGTTTAGCTTTTATTTGAGAGGGCCACATCAAATATTTTCTCATACTTCTCTTGTAATTTTATTGGTATCATATCACCTGTATTATAAAAAATTATTGGGATATCAGAATCTATTTCTTTTTTTTTCCTGACGTTTCCTGAAATGTCATGTCAAAGAAGTTGGAAAATATAGTTGTGTTTGTATTTAAACACAAGCAAAGCAACTCTAAGCCTATTTTCTCATTTGTACATTGAATAAGTAAAAACCATTCCTGGTATTTTCTGGGCAAGATATCTACCAAAACCAATGAACACATACACAGTTTTGCATGAAGTGCTGCAAAAGTAAATGCACCAGGGAACCTTTCTGTATATTTATGTAAAGCCCCTGTTGCTATGAATTCTGTGGAAATGATGTGTGAGGACAAATGTGATCAACACTTAGATACTGAAGGTGATGCTTGGAGAGGATAAGATTAACATCCCATTGCGAAGCTGGGTAGGAAACCTTTTGGTAGGAAACCCTGATTGCTTTGTGTTACTGAAGGGTGTGTTTATCACGACGYTGTGAGCAGGTTTCAGTCAGTGCTCAACTGGTAATTTTTATACAGAATGGAGCTGATGCAAACTTGTAGTTTTCAGTCTGTAAAACATTCTGAATCCCGTATTTTGTTTTCATCTCAGGATACGAGGCAATGCACTTTCCAAAACAAGGTCTCAATGCGGTTTMGTTTAAACATTGCTGACAAAAATAGTCTGTGATCGCCCAATAATTTTTCCTATGGCTGCTTTGCTGCGTAAAACTTCATTCGGGTGTATTCTGGGAAACTTCAGGTTTGTAACTATGTGTCCCTCTRTCCTTTGGGAAACAAAGTGATACCATTGTCACAAAACATACAGGACACTATGAACACTGTTAGTTTTACTTCTAAGTTTTAGTAACAAGGTTGTAAATTTTACCTTTTACTTTGGATTATTTGTTTTTCCACATTTTGGATTGCAGACTCCATTTAATGGCCAAATTCCTTTATTTTCATTGACATTTTTTCAATGTTTTCATGAAAACCATGTTGGGGTGTAAAGCTTGSATCATGACCTCACTCTGATGGGTCTGTTCTAAAACAGAAAGAAAAGAGATCTTGCCCAGAACTCACCATCTCTGTGAAGTTGTTCTGTGGGTCTGTTTGCAGAGAATGGTCAGTCACACTGGTMATGTTAGATCTTACCTGGGTTTATAGGTGATCTGTGCTGTCTGAGCAAGCCTTTCTGCAAAACCTGCTGGAAACCTACTACCCCACTATCTCTGTTATATGGTCAGGTGCAGCTCTCCAGTGACATCTATGTGTTTTTTAACCCAGGCTTCACATACTTATACAGATGAAAATGATTTAGTATATTTTTTTAAATAAAAGAATTATTTTCTTAAGTGCTTTCTGTATAATTRGATAATGTGACCTATATAATTGGATAATGGTGTAATTGATTATCTTCTGCTTCTCATTGATAAATATGAGGGTCAAGGAAATAGTATTTGTTCGTCTGGTGTGCAGGAAATGTGATTTGACACTTTTAGGTCCTTCTAAGTAATTACTTTAGAGTTACTTCAACTTAATTTTACTTTACTTAAGGAACAATGTACAATATAGATGCTTCATCAATTGGCTTCCAAGAAAGAGGAAATGTAGGACATGTAATAATATGTTACATTTAGAAATCCATAGAAACATGACTTTTCATTGCAATCATTGYCTTCCTACTATTCCATATATTAACTTTTATTTTCTAATTTCTGCCTTTTTTCTGTCTGTAGAAGTCACTCAGTTGTAGTCTATGAGTGTCAACTCTTCCCTTCAAGAACAGATTGTTGACCATTTTTTTGAGTTTACTGTTGGTGAAGAAGCCATTTAAAATAATTTTAGTAGGGTTGGCTAAAGTCCGTAAGTCTCATGCTATTTGAGCTTTTTMTCTTATTGAATTCGGGAGCTGAAAGTGACATAGTAATGAAAAGTCAGAAGGGGGAGAAGTGGATCAATATATTGCTAAATTCTTATTGAAATGCTCATGCTTAGACTGTTCTGGGCGGTTTTATTTCTGCTTAACATTTGCTGAGTAAAAGTCATTGCCCTAGAGATGCAAGATTTATTGACACACAGAGATGAAAATGATTAGCTAAAAGGTTTCTGCACAAAGAGAATCAGAATCAGCTGAAACACTACAGGGTGGCTCATATACAGGAGGCTGAGCTATTTCAAATAAGTTATTAATGTTCAAARCTGAAAGCTGAGGTTGTTAATAATATACCAATTGTTTATTCTTTGCTTCCTTTGTAGGGACCGTAAAATTCTGAAAAATTTCAGTTATATTTATAGGCTTATATTTTCTATACACACACGCTTTGCTTTTTAGAGTTCATAAAGGCCTTATTATGTTCCCATAGATTTATTTTCTAATGAAGTACATGGTTGTTTATTTATAGATACCAGCTTTTGAAGAATTGCCTTTATGGAATGTTCCCACAGTCCTGACAAAGGTACAGCTCTATGACAATATATTCTGATTCATTAGGAATCATGCACACTCATTTTTTATTTGATTTCATATGCCACATACTCAGCATCTTGGTACACTCTATTTAGCTTTTCAAACATCTGAAAGATGTCAGCATGATTTGGCTTACAGTGCACATGAGCCTGCCAGGAACACAAGGCAGAACCTCTGCTTTTTGGCCTAATGAAGAGCAGGTTTTGTCCTCAGACTTGACTTTCTCTTGACTTTGTACAGGCAGAGYATAGTAAAGCCTGGAAAGTTTAATTGTCAGACAGATCAAATTGAATTACATTGTGGTTCAGTGGTCTCAAAAGTCAAACATTGGGAAAAATTCATCTTCTAACTGGGTGGCATTCAAGAGTTTACTAATCTTACTAAAGCTGATTACAATCCCAGTGTCACCATATTTCTAGTGTTAATCTCTAGGGGAGCACATATTTGTTTCCTTCATCCAGTTGTTGAACAGAGAGTGATCGATAGGAAATTTGTGGTACTCTGGGGAATCCTGCTCTGTCCTGCCCTGGAGTGCCAGCACAAGTGCTGTAGGGTGGTGCTTCCAGCCCCAGAGCCTGGGATAAGCAGAGAAAGTGCTGGAAGCTGGGTCAGTGCCCTGGTGCCTTCAGTCAGAGCTGGGTTTGAGGAAGGAGACATCTCACAGTTGAGCTTGTCTTGACCAAAGGACTGGGCTTTATATATCTTGCTGTTTCTCCYTATTAAATCTGGAACATTCTAAGCWAAAACTACTAAATAAAAAAGATTAAATACAACTCACAATTCAGAGAAAATGAGATGAGAGATTACTGAACACCAGACAAACCTGGAAGTATTGAATAATTATACATACCGTTGCAGGCAATGTTGTATGAAATTTAATTCTACGTTTCACACAGGTTTTAAAGCTTTAGCAGGTTTTATTTTGAAATAGAAATGATTAAATGTAATTTTCCAATAGTTTTACATGATTAATGTAACAGGCTGATTTTCCTTTGAGTACATCRTAAATACCATTCACATTGGTGTGCTATATATGGAAAGTTTTATTGCTGCAGCACTTTATGAAATTATTCTTTGGGAAATTATAGATATTCAATGAATAATTCAAGGGAAAGAATAAAACAAAATCTAATAAACTCTGCGTATGACTGAACTTTGACATTATTACAGTAATGTGTATACACAAACCTCGCTGTTTTGTGGAAAAATGATCCAAGTAGAGACTGATTTTTGTAAGAAGAGATCTTTCCACACTTTAATTGTCAGAGTAGAAAAGTGGCAATTATTAACTAATTGATAACCTGAACACTAATCACGCTTTCTTCTCTTTCCAGAGAAGTAAAAAGCAGAAGATATTGAGGAAATACTGGAATTTTGCCAGGGGCTCCAAGCATTATAACATTTTCTGGGAGTCTAAAATTCTCCTGTAAATGAGAAGATTAAAAATCTTGAGGGAAGTAATATCTTAGAGGATGATACCAAAAAGTGTCTGTACCCTTTTCTCCCTTCACTACTTTGGAGAAAGTAAAGGGGTGAGGCAGAGGTGTTTACAACAAGCAGGGAATGGGAATGAGAAGAATGCTGTGGTCTTGACTAAGCTGGGAAAAACTGGGGCGAGTGATGAGAGAGACTGAGCAGGGACCATGTTGGTGGTTTTTTTTTTTGTGTACAGCTGTGACCCAACTTCCTGCCAATACTAAATTATTGGGCTATGGAAAATAATTCATAAACTCCTCAGACTGATGTGACTGAGTTCCTGCCACTAACATCTTGTTTAACTCCTTACAAGAGCCTTGGGTAACAACAATGTGCACAGAAGAGTACACCCAAAAGCTTTTCACACTTTTTTACAGTCTCACCATCCTAAAGGACAATGGARCAGGGCAAGAGAGGGGCATTTCCTCCTCAAAAGGGTTAAAGCTGATTTAGCACCACACTCCTGCTCTTGTCTTTCTTTGGGATCTTGTGCTGTCTTCCTCCTCACTKCACAGATGTCCTGTAGAGCCTGATCTCCTGGCTTAGCATAGAGGAGATATGAATGCCTGTGATATCTTCATGTTATGCACTGACTTTGGAGATGGTTTTAGGCCAAAAATCCCCATTACTTCAATGGTCCTTGGGCCTGGGAAAAGGACAGGGTCAAAATCAAGCTCAGCCTGTATTTCAAACAGCTACAGCAGTTTCAGACATAAAAAAAAATAAAGTGCTATAGCTTCCCTCACAGAAATTTCCTGCAAATATGTCAGATTTTTCTGTTTTATTTGGTATATAACATGGCAACGCTTCTCCATGACTGTAAATCAAAATAACATCAGGGATTTTAAGAGCAGTACATGAATTTATTCCAACTGGTGGGCTCGTGATTAACTTAAGTGGTCCCAGGGAGATTTATGTTAGCTGGAGGGTCTAATCCACTGATCTCATTGGAGCTGTCCAACTTTCTCCAGGTGGAGAGCTGCCTAMATTCTACCACTATTTCTTTCAAATTTGTTAAACTGAAAAAAGTGATCACAAGACGCAGAAAAAAAAAGAGTTTGACATGTTGATGACAAGGAGTTTGTTTAAGCTGAATGGATCTTTAGGTATGGAACTGAGTCTTGCTTTCTCCCTGCTGTAGACCCCCAGCTCTTCTAATTGTCCATGACTTGAATCAAATGAACAATCCRACTGCAGCTGAACTAGACACGTGCCATAGGACTGTGATGCTGCTAAACTCCTTCCACTGAAAACAATTGACAAAGTCCTTGAAAACTAATATAAATGAGAGTAGGATCAAGTCTTTTTTTTCTGTTTGTGTTTGCTTGTATTAGAAAAGGGGAAAAAAAGGACATGGTGAAAAACCAGGTAACCAGTGTTCTTTGCCTGGAAAGGCACTAGTGCTTTTTTTGAATTGCCTCCTGATTTGTTATGAAACTCTAAAATTTTTATTTTTAGTTCAGTTTCATGACTAATCACAGTTTGACAAATATGGAAATTTGTAAGTGTGGGGGAATTGATGTGCAGTAGTTTTTGTTCTTTCCCCTGTTCAGTTTGAGGATCTGCATGTTGATGTATTTATTTTGAATTAATGTTTATTTCAGTAGRCTGAGGGAATTGTTATGATTATTATGAAAGGGCCTGGTATATATGTAAATGAAATGGAGAGAAGTAGGAGAAAGGAACTAATTTGTTATTGGACTTTGAGGATAAGTTTTCTTGGTCAAAGCTTCTAGATAAATATTATTCCACATAGCAARCCTGCTTCCTCCTTGTCTTAATGAATTATTRTWTTGTAAAKTCGTTTAAGGGAAATTSATTTGGAACACMAACTTTAGTTTAGCCAGTGAGTTTACATGTTACTGGAATATTTTCAGTTACAAGCAGTGTAACATATGTCCGCCTTATTTTTAAGAAATTTAGGGAAACAACATTCTTCTTGTCAACTTATGATAGCTGGGTGAAGATCTGGGTTTCAAAGTGCAACTACTTTTCATTTCAATTTATTTTGCTTACAAGGATTTTACTTAGCTGAACTACATAGAAATGTGGTTTTAGGAGACTTGGTTCTCTAGATACAATATAGGGAAAGTGCTTCTTTTTTTTTTTTTGTTTGAAGAAAACTTGTTTTAATGTGAATTACTTTGATACTTGCAGTGTAAACAACACACAGTGGGATCAGTTATCAAAAAGGTGACTTTCCAATGCAAATTAAAGGCTGAAATGATGAATTCCACATCTGTTAAATAGACTTAATTTCTGGTGRCATTATAAACTGAAAAGGGCAACAAGCTCCTTCTTCATCACACGCAGATCTCTCCAAACAGATTACAATTCAGAATGTGTTCAGAGTTGAAGGTAAAACTGCTGAACGGTCTGAAGAATGCAAGTTACCCTGTTAGGGGAATACTTGCTGACTTTTTAGGATTTTGGCTCACTTTCCTGACAGATACTGCTGGATGCAGTTTTACAGTTATAGAGATGGGCTCRTGGAGCAGATACTTGGTATCAATAAATGGCTACAGTAATTTACATTATATAACACCTGGCAAGAGTCAGTCTCATGTTCTGGTTAATCCACTGCATGGTTGAAAGATATGAGCATGGAAAACATGCATTAATCATAATTTATGATAAATATGTCCTATGAAGGACATGGTCAAATTTTTTACACCAGGATGGGCTGTGGAATTATTGTCAGTGTAAAAGTTGATGGAAGCATTGACAAGTTATAGTTGAATCCATTACATTTATTCATCTGTGTCCAAGRTGCAAGAAAACATTTGCAGAATCAAGTTTGCAATGCAGCTTTTCTGAGGATGCTGCACAATGAAATCCCTGCAGGTTTGATGCATTCTGTAACAATTACTTTGAAGCAGGACTTCCTAGTGCTGTATGATTTCTTTTCATGATAATCTGCCCCATCTGTTTCACAGATAAATTTTTAGTCCATTTCCCTCCAAAACCCCTTTTCTCTCTTCAAGKCAGTGATCATATATCTACTATTTCTACTTATCTGATGAGTCTGTTATAGTACTCATCTAATTATTTCGCTTTCTTTTTATTGCTTGCGAATGATGAGATATATTCTAACTTCACAGCTAMAATTAATTTGGAAGGTAGTTTTTATGGCTGATTATTTTTATATTCATTTCTGAACTATAATTCATGTGCTACTAGTTAAAATACTTTGTCATGGATACACTTCCAAGTCTTTAATTTAGTGATATTTTGAAAGACATTACGATTGTTCCAAAGCTTTCTACCAGAAAAATACACTTATGGAATAGGCCTAGGCCATTTGTTTATCTTGTGGTTTTCATAATCTGCACCAACTCTGTTCTACATTTTCAGAGAAGTGTTTTCTYTTCCAAAAAGACACTGCTTGTTTTACATAAGAGCCAGCTCTAGACTCTGAACCACTGCAAATTAGAAAGGTGGCATCTGTAGAACAGCCACACGTCCGCCTTGGTGCATTCATCTCGAATATTATAATTTCTCTGAACCTGGGGAAACACAGGTCAGGAAAACATGGTTATAAAGGCACCACACCATGACCCTTCCAGAACTGCATAGCTGAGAAGCATAACAAAAATTTATAGAATAAAATTTTTTAATACATTTCTACTAAATAAAAAGACACTGCAAAGTCAGAGCTAAGAAAAGGACAGAAAGAAGAGCTCTACTTACAGAGGGTGACATTTTTCCAGCATTGTTATCTTGTAGYTCTTCCACTTCACCCCAAAAATTTTCTTCTGAGTTATAACATAACTCCCCATCCTCACAAATACCTTTGTAAATATCATAATTGACTATCATTCAGAAAAATGTGATTTCTTCTTGACATATGTACTAAAGGGCTCAGTCATGGGTCTGGCATTGCTCTGACACAAAACTGGCTTCAAGCTACTTTGACAATTGTGGCAGACACATCCCAACATTTTGAAAACAAAGATTCAACAATATTTTAATATCGCTTACAGTGAATGTGCTGAGATCTTTGTGCCTTTTGAGAGAGGGAATGTCAGCAATAGGAAAATCTGAGGGGTCAAATCTTTAGCATGGCAATACTTTGATAATTTCTTCCTTCCATTTGTTTTCTTCTCCTGACGTGGTTAGCTCTGTCTTTTAGCTTACACTTTTGCCCTGAACATTTTAATTAAAATAATTTTCCCAGAATAGAAGGGAAATTATAAATATGAAATTTTAATGAAATGCTTATTTTTATGAAATATTTATACTTTTTCATTCTAGTAAACATTTTTCATTGTCGTTTTGGGGCAGCAGGTGCTTGAAGGRCTTTTGTTTTGCATTTTCAGTGAAAGTTTGATGTTATTTGATGTAAATATCTTCTGACAAGCTAAGGGTATCACTGGGTCATAGCAAAGGTAGTCAACCAGAGGACAGATTCACTGAGGTGTGCTGTCAGACTCATTTKCCATGCAGACAATCATTTAATAGGCAAGATGGTATCACTCCTGTTTAATAAAAAAATGAGCTTTACATAGGAGAAGCAACAAAGAGTCTTGCAGAGTTTGACATTTACTGTTAGGACAGAGTGAAGAGTGATGCAGTTGCTAATGACTGTGTTGTCACCAGGTGTCTAAGAATCAAACTTTATAGCAACAGGTTTTTTTGCTCAGTCCTAATGATTCTGTCTCAACAGTGAATCGATGAGCAAAACAGAAGCTAATGTCCTTTTCAGGTGTACTTTTAGTCCTACAGAGCTTATTTCTGGGAAAGTCTCTGTTTTCTGAGCAGGCTGATAGAATTTCAAGCATTTATGACCTTACAGCACATTGTAAGTACCAACTTTTATGTCAAAAGGCGCAAGAGAGTTTTAATTTAGAATTCAATGGGGCAAATGATTACAGAGGGATAGCTTATAGGAAGACTAGTCGGTCTAGATGAGGTCTAGCCAGCCCCACGTGTTGGGTTCTGTCTTCGTGGTTCATGAATAGAAGGGCTTTCACACTGTGTATTACCATAAAAAAAATCCCATTGTTAAAATTGACCAAGAGAGAGAATTTCTGTCCACACTGTACTGAATTATCTGTTTTGAGTTGGTGTCATCCAYGGA